GAAAAATATCACAAATTGATGTCAAAGACCACGCTCAGATAAACCGAAAATAAAATGGTTGACACTGGTTATTAACACATTAAGCATAAACGAAAGTGTGAATGACAACATTATCATGCTCGTATAGCGATTGTAGCATTAAATATAATTTAACGGGTTTTACTTCCAGTATTGCGACCTTTCGACCTTTCAGTGATCAGGAAAGGGTAGATAATATTACTAAAAAGAAATAGTATGAAGTGATAGGAGAAAGTGGTATATAGAAATAATATTGAGAGGGGCTGTCTATGCTATTGTAGCCATAACCTCGCTCTGCCTAGGGAAACCTTGCATCATCCTTAATTTTGCTACATGGTTTTTTTTTATATTTCGTTTCAGTGAATTCGTGTCGTAATCCAAACGTCAAGACAACAAGCCAAAGCTCAAATCATGCCATGACGTTCACAAGTGAAAAGGCAGTTGATGGCTGTATTAATCAGAACTTTGGAAATAAATGTTGTATTCATACACAAGCAAACCCTTCACTGTTGGAAGCTTGGTGGCAGATTAACCTTGGTGGTCCAGTAGTTATTGAACTTGTGAAAATATACAGAAGTAAGTAAGAAACAAAGCACATGAAAATCTCCTTTTCTAGTTCATGACAATTAAACGTAATAAGCATCCCGTAGCAAGAAGGTATATACCATTTTTGTAGTGTGAGGGTATGTTTCTATGTGACATAATAACTATGGTATTAAGCTTCTTACACCGTTGTATGACTATGGTGATAGATCGTACACCTGGTAAACAATAGTAATAATACTTACTGGGTATTGTTTAGTTTAAGTATTCTTAGATGATTGTGCGTGTTTTCCGGAACATGTATCTTACCAATACGATCTTTATAATATGTTATATGTTGCACATGAGTATGAACATTGGGCATAAAAATGATACGTAGCGTAGATACTATCAATAATGCAAGCAATGTTAATCGCATTTACCTTCAACATAATTCAAATACAATTTTTATAGATCGCATTTTTATTATGTCAATGTTGCAATTGAAACGAGTAAAATTTCGGTGTTATCATAAGCAGCAATATCCATTAAGCTTAAGATTTACTGTTTATTTCGCACAGATGATGTAGTCAAAGAACGATCAAGCCGATTTGGTGGCTTTCAGATATACCTGTCAAATACAACAGATTGGAGAAACGGTGACAACTGTCATAGAGATACAACATCTACATGGCAATCGATGGACCTTGCTCCATCTATTCAATCGTGTACAGGCAACACAATCTACCTGACTATCTATGTTGATCGACGAGCAAACAAACCTTACAGTTGGTATTCTGGTTACGCTATCCTCGAACTCTGTGAAGTCGAAATTTATGGTGAGCTCATTCAGTAAGAAAATATCGTTTACTGACATATACATATATAGTATGAACGGGAATAATGTCATAAAACACACACACAAATAATGAACAGCTTCAGTCAGCCGGGTTGCCGAAACGTTTAGTTCTCTCTAGACTGTGAAGTTCTGTCGTAGTGATCAACTTGAAATAATTTCACCAAGAAAACACTTTTTTTTCACCGAGAATTCACATGAACACTAAAATATGCTATAAATAATTAACAATACAAATGTCATATACAATTTACAAACATATTGATTCAATGACTTGAAATAAATGAATAAACAAACTAGATAGAAGCACGCTTTTCCTCCGAGAAAACACAATATTTACTTCAGTACACAGACACATGCTTAACGTAGTGTATAATTCATATGCCATATATAAAAATATTCTTTCAGAATATTTTATTGTCATGGTGGTATTAACAGTAGGAATTGGGCAACAGGCAGAGCCTATGAAAGCCCTCTCCTTACAGTGCATAAACAAGTATACAGACACATCAATCAAAATTAGAGATAACAGATAATAATAATATTAGGATTAAGAATGTAAAAGATAGATTCAAATGGATGATTATATAACCGAAATGCAAAATAGGCATCACCATCGTTTGTATTATTGAGTTCCAGAACAGTAACATAAACTAAAAAATACAAATTAGGTATCACAAGATATTACAAGACTGGGTCAAAATATGTCCATTTGTGGTGGGACAGGCTGCAGGTTCAAACAGTCCATTTGCACATAATCCTGAGCTGAGTCCCTAAAATGGACAGGCGGACCCACACTTGAGACATCAAATACAAATGAGAGATAGAAAAGATAGAAGTATAGAATGGGATGTACATTTGCTAAAATAGGCGACCAGTGTCAGTTATGAATCTCTGAACTATATCAAGAATAAATTTATTCATGTTTGCATCAAGTATAGGAGAACCTTTGAGAAATGTATCAATTGTAGGAGGTATAGAATCACTAAGGTCAGAAAGGGAATTAAAGAGGAGTTGTCTCTGGTTAGTAAAGAAGGGACAGTGGAAAAAGAAGTCGGTGCAATCTTCAATTGGGTGGCCACAGTTACAGGCAGGGTTATCTTTAAGGTGGGAATTGAATAAATCAAAATTCAGATTGCTTGCAGAGTTTCTTAGTTGACATAAAATTATGTTAGCTTTTCTTTGTCCTTTATATTTGAAAGTATCATTACAGTGGAAAGGAGGAATGGTAGCTTGCTGTGATAAAAAAAAATTATCGCATAAATAGAAGTTAATGAGGGATACAGACAAGATGGGCCATTCCATTCATTCATGAGTTTTGGAAAGGAGCTAGTGCTATATTGACAAGTTCTTGTATGGGGCACATCAAACAATCTATTGTGTTGAAGTGGATAAGGAGCATTATTATTGTTTATAAAAGGTTGGATGGAGTCAAATACATGAGGAGGGCATCTGTTATTTAAAATCTTAAAAAAATGGATATTTTGATGCAAGTGTCTTCTTTTAGCTAAGGGTATTAATCCAGACTCATTATATAGAATTGCATGCCTGGTGCCCCTGTCTTAGGCCAGTAATAATGTGAATTGCCTCTAGTTGAATTGATTCTAAGATGTTGCATTCCCTTTCTGTGCAATTAGCATATTCTGAAATAGGACGAATAAATGTAATATATATTAATTTCAAGTGACTTTCTGTCAATTTTATACTTTAATCTTCTAAGTACATTTATTTGTTTTTAAGCTTTCTCATAGATAGAGTTTATGTGGTTTGACCAATTAGCATGACTATTAAAAGTTAGACCAAGGTGCTTTTGGAAGGTAACATTTTTAATAACTGAATCATTAAAGTACAGATTTGGATGCAACATCTCCGAATCAACTCTCCTTCAAAAACTAGGGATTCTGTCTTGTCAGGATTAAAAATAATACCCCATCTATTGGCCCACCTAGAAATGTTTTGAAGATCATTATTGAGTATATTAGCTGCATCTTGTCTATCGCCCTCAATTAAGCCATATCAAGATGTGTCATCAGCAAATAATTTCACATTAGATAGTAAATCATCACCAATATCATTAATATATAACAAAAACAGATAAGGACCAAGAACTGAACCTTGAGGGACCCCAGCCTGTAATGTTTTCCAGTTGGACTTGTATCCATCCAAGACCACTCTCTGTCTCCTGTTAGTTAAATAAGATGAAAACCACTTTAACATGTTATTACTAATGCCATACTTTTTCAATTTAAAAATTAATCCATCATGCCAAACTCTATCGAACGCTTTGCTTATGTCGCAGAATATCATTCTTGCTTCTTTACCTTTATCCAAATGCTTAGTAATTTCATCATATATAATTAATAGTTGATTAACAGTGGAATCTTTAGGTAAGAACCCTGATTGATTTCTGGAGATAATGTTAGGTCTTGAGAGATAATTATAAAAATATTTAAAGACAATTTTCTCAAGGATTTTACTGAAGATGGGAGGAACAGAGATTGGCCTGTAGTTGGATGGATCACTTTTTCCTCCTTTTCCTTTATATATAGGTGTTACATGAGCATTTTTCCAGGAGGTAGGAAGTACACCTGCAAGAGATAGATTTATTAAATATTATTGAAAGAGGTTTTATAAGGGATTGAGAAACACCTTTTATGAATTTGGGAGGGATGGAATCAGGACCTGCAGGTTTGTTAGTATTAAGAATCTTAAGTTGGTCGATAATGTCCTGTTCAGTTATGTCGATTGAAGAGAAGTTAATAATTGGTGGGGATAGTCAGGTGGTAAATCATCAGCATTCTTGTCTGTTGTTGAAATAGAAGTGAAGTAGTCATTGAAAGTCTCAGCTTTATCTAGAGGGTGTATTTTCAGATCACCATTAATAATAAGGGGAGATTCAGTATCGCTTTTATTATGTAGATTCATAACTGATTTAGCAATTCGCCAACATTTTCCAGGAGGAATAGTTTTATTAATAAGAGAAGATTGTAATTTAGACAGATATTTATCTTTAGCCTCTCGGATTAAAGTAATGACTTGGTTTCGAATAGATTTGAATTTATTCCATGAAGCATGGGAGTTATTTTGTTTAGCTTTAGAATGCTGACGATTTCTCTGTCTTATTTTCAGTCTAATTTCATTAGTCATCCATATTTTGTCATTTGGTCTAATAGTAACAGTCTTGTTAGGTACAAATTGGTCAATAGCTGATAAAATGTTGTTAGAAAGAACATAATTCATTTCATCAATATCACCAACTAATTGGTAATTCCAGTCAATAGAATTAAGAAATTCATTAGCTCCTTCATAATTAGTATTTTGGAAATATAAAAGTTTTTTTTATATGCAAGTTTCTTAAAAGACTTGAAATTTAAAGTAGCAGTGATTGGCGAGTGGTCACTACAGGATGGAGGTAGTACATAAAATAAAAATATGCATCAATAGTCTAAAAAGGACAAAGAAAAAATGGTAATCGTAGTTTCCGTCACTCTTAGTTAACAAGATATTATATAAAGAAGACTAACTTAAAGAGTACCCTAAGCAAAAATAGAAATTGATAAAGTATTATTTCTGATGATCCAAAATTAAGAATGGTTGAAAAGTTAGACCGGCTAAATACCGCGATATTTACGAGTAAAGTGTACGATTTTTACCTGTCCTTCCACTACTAATCAACATAAACGTAACTCGTTAAATTGGACCATATTGATTGCAACGTCACAAAATTGTATCCAAATTGAACGCAGCACAAAGTAGTAAAGTTTGAGATAAAAATATTCGTTTAATCGGTATAAAGATGGCGCTAAAAAGTAGCGAAAACGTTTTCACAAGGATAAAGACAAACACACTAAGCATTATTTAAACGTGGGTCTATATACACTGCATTATTTGCCAACTCAAAAGGAAGTAATGTCATAATTTAAATTGTAGAAAGTCCTTTTTCTATAACTATGTAGCACTTTGGTATAAGATACAGAAGTAAATCTCAACGGAATATAGAACATAAGTAGCTGAAAAGATCGAATATCATTGGAGGTTTTCTTGCATATTTCTAATGGGCTGTTTTGGCAGCTTTGAACTGATGACGTCACAGATGCGGGCGACCCATATCGAGGCGATCGCCACTGGTTCAAAGATGTACTTTCAGATAAATCACAGAATCGGAGAAAATTAATTAACTATGACGTTTGTGCTTTAATATATAGATATGAAAATAATGATTAATTTTCCGTGATCTCTGCTTACTAGTTCATGCATACGAAGATTGTATCCTTTCATCATATACCACTGCATAACTGTATTGAAATATCAATACTTGATACACAATAAAAAAGCACACATCATTACGTATATATTCCTGTTTTTACTTCAATCAGAGTTATTTGTTATATATCTAAAAACCATCAATCATTGTATGTATGCTTTATCATGTAAAGAACTGAGATTATATGTGGTGGAAATATCAGGTATAGATATGTCTCAATCGCTCTTCATATTTTACAATGTTAGAAATCATTTTAATTCACATACAGTTACGTTTTATTTGGAAAATTTATATAATAATAAATCAGACAGAAAAATCTTAATCCATTTTAGACACAAACAACAATAAGTATTATCATTATATTGTTACGACATTGCTTCATGTGTCCCTAAGTATTTATCACATACATGACTTTCAGGATGTCCACTGGGAAAATTTGGTAACAACAACTGTGATTCGACCTGTAGTACAACCTGTGTTAACAACTCGTGTCACCCTGACACTGGTCGATGTACATGTAAGTTAATAATTCGACACCTCAGGTGGTTTGATTTAAACTTATGATTTAATGAACCCTCAATGAATATATAGATGACGTACATCCATTGAGTCATTTTATTGTTTGGGAACTTCAAGATAGTTACTATTAGCATAAACATTCGAGTCTAAAGCCTAAGAATATAGCATTATATGATATCCATAATATGCAGTGGTGATAG